CGGTTCATGATATGTTTTGTCCGAACAGAAACATAGTTATCGGTTAATGTTCGTGGATACGGCACAAAGGGGAGTCGTGTCATGTCTGTCGTAAAGCTAATGTGATAGCGCGAACCTGTTCGAAGGTGTTTACAAATGAATGAGGGCGTGGTGGACGATGCCAAAGATCACGTTAAGCGCACGTCAAAGGAAGGCCAAACGAAACGTGTTCGCATAAAAGCTGTAACCCATCCCCACTTTATAGTTCATTGAAGTCACGCATCACTCTGTTCATCCTTGCTGGAGTTCATCATCTTTGTTCCAAATAATAGCTTCATAGGTGGGCGTGACCAGAATAAGTTCCTATGGGGGCGGAACAGACTGAAAACCTGTCTGCTGACATATCTTCCTATTTCATTCCATAGGTCAATTCGAACTTTTGTGTTCCTACCGATTGCCTGCGCTTCCTTGGTGCACTACACCCAAAATTTTCTTATTGACAATAAACACCAACTATATAAACAAGTCAATATCCGCCAATTACTGGAGGGACCACTGATTTGTTTTTCTATTTTGTACGCTTACTTCCTTCCATGTAGGAGAATGTAATTACGGCAACGCTGTTGTGCTCTTGGCCGGGTGAACCGAGACGCAACATTCCCTACTCCAGGTTCGCACGTGTGGTTGTTGGATTAGTTTGAAGAACTGTCATTATAATAACTTTATTTGCCAGAATTGGATCTTCGTCTAGAACTTCATTCATAGCATTTACTATTGCATAAGAGCCTGAGATTGTGGATGTGTAACAAAGGTGCTATTTCAGTTCTACCCCCTTACATTTTTTGAAGAGCAATAGTTGAGGTTCGGCCTTGCTTGTGCGTATTGTGGACGATTCCTAACACCAAAACATTGTTTGCGCGGTTTTCGGTCGTTGTAGCTCAAGTGATTGATGCTAACAACAATGACGAAAAACTGTCTAAGCGAGTAGCTCACTGCAATGGTCACTTTCCTAAATTACGCAAGTGCGTGACGTATTATAAGACTGTTCGTTTTATAACTTTCATGGTACATAAAGAAGACTACTCAAACCAAATAATCGTAGTTCGAAGAAAATAACCCTTTGGGCGATGAACATTGACAGGACAACATCCTCCAAAATGTTTGCCGTGGGTAAGAAACCATTGTTGAAGACTATGAGGTTCTGGCTTTCAAATATGTTTTTATGTGTTTTGAAGGACTCTAATTCAAAATTTTGCCTTTGAAATGGTGCCACTGAGACTTGGACCATATACATCGGAATTGGTCTACGCGGCTCGATGCAAGTTTACTTTTTTGATAAGTTTAAAGCGCTTGGCAGCAACAAGTCCTTCCTCTGGAATGCGCCACGCGCCTGCCTGTGATCCAAAATTGCGAAGTTATTTGAAATTCTAATTTGCTTCCTATGGCCTGTGAAAAGAAACCATTTCGATTTTTTTCGTCTTACGACGAAAGCATAATCCTATAAATGACTTCGTTCAACTTTTATCCTCGGGACCCCACTATATCATGTCCACCGAGTCGATCTAGCGAGAACTGTGACAGATGGAGCGGCCTCTTTCAGCGCATCCCCTCCCTTTTCACCAACCAAACCAATCGTCACGATGTCCGCTGCGGTCATAAAAAACAGTAGCGGTCAAAAGTCTTCGCCGAAATTGTTTTTCCACTGTAACTTTTTTTTCCGCTGAATCAAATCAATTCAAATTTTAACATGTTTTAGAGATAGTCCTACTTTACTTAAACGGCATATTTGTTTCGGATTGAGAAAGAATTAAGAATGGAAAAAATCATTTCACTAGAAATTCTCGCGTACGAGCAAATTCCAAGTGGGTTTCAAATTACACTAGCAAGCTTTCAATTCAACAAAGCAGTCTTACGCATGATGAATAACACTGGGCAGGTCCAATACTTTATTAATGATCTTCTGGGCTTGCTGAAATACTAACAAGGCCTAAGTAAGGAATCAGTCATTGATACAGTGTCAACTAGGGCAACTTCCTCCATTTCTCTCAAAATTTGACGACTTTCTTGCCCATATTCCCGGCTCTTATTTCACCAAATGTATCCCTACTCTTTCCCATGTTTCGATGGCGCTCGGGACACTGGTGTTCCCTTCGTTGAAAGCGCGCCATGCTGGCGAAGCCACTCCTTCACAGTAAAGGTGCGATGCTTTTCTTCGCACTAATGCTAGAAGGCGAGCTCAGTTTTGACCAACTGTCATACATGTGGATAAGAACTCCTTCTAGAACCCAACTGTATAGGCTGCCTTCACATGATTGCGAATACTGCGAAGTTAGTCGGCGGTGAACTGGTCGGGGGCGAAATGTGCTTACCATAGGGGATCCCCATAGGGCTACAACGTCCTGCGGACCAACGAGAGTAAGTTCAAGATGTTTGCCGGCGACTGAAATAGGAATGTGTGCGGTTCTGAGGAAAAACGTTTCGATCCAAGGAATTAACTGCCGTATGTAAAACTTGGCGGAGGCTGGCGTGTGGTAGTCCGTAAAAGAAGTTTTACAACTGCACAGGATTAGAACAGTGGTGAATGCCGAGGTATCAGATAGATTCTAGAAGGTTCGTATCCGCTCGTATGAAACTGTACGTGACTGAGTTCGCCTTCTAGCTATAGAGCGACCAAAAGCATCGCACCGCACTGTGAAGGATTGGTTTATTGGTTTCGACAGCATGGCGCGCTTTCAGCGAAGGGAACAATTCACACCAATGCCCCGAGCGCCATCGAAACATTATGGGAAAGGGTAGGGATACCTTGGTGGTAATTAGAACCGGGAATATGGGCGAGAAACTTGTCAAATTCAAGAGAAGTGGAGGAAGCTGCCCTAGTAGACAGTGCGTTCAATGACTCATTCCTTACTTAGGCCTTGTTAGTATTTCAGCAAGCCCAGAAGATCATTAATAAAGTATTGAACCTGCCCAGTGTTATTCATCATGCGTAAGACTGTTTTGTTGAATTGTAAGCTTGCTAGAGTAATTTGAAACCCACTTGGAATTCGCTCGTACGCGAAAATTTCTAGTGAAATGATTTTTTCCATTCTTAATTCTTTCTCAATCCGAAACAAATATGCCGTTTAAGTAAAGTAGGACTATCTCTGAAACATGTTAGAATTTGAATTGATTTGATTCAGCGGAAAAAAAAGTTACAGTGGAAAAACAATTTCGGCGAAGACTTTTGACCGCTACTGTTTTTTATGACCGCAGCGGACATCGTGACGATGTGGTTTGGTTGGTGAAAAGGGAGGGGATGCGCTGAAAGAGGCCGCTCCATCTGTCACAGTTCTCGCTAGATTGACGCGTTAGGCTTTTTCATATCAGTTCCCCATTGGAATGCTTCAAGCATTCGATTTTCCTTCGGAATCGTAGCTGCTCAGGACCACAAAACGTTTCGTATCCTCCCCCCCCCCTGAGTTCAATAGTTACTACCAGAACTAGGGGCGAGATAAATAAACTGGCTTCTAGTCGGCTGGCAGTGCAAGTCATTGTGTGATTTCAATACGCATTCAAATACCACTACTGTTTTGAAAGCAAGCCGAATTCGTGGCACATCCCAATGAGGAACTGATAAAACTGAAAAAGCCTGACCCATCTCCACGTCATACCTCTGGTATAATGGGGTGTGGAAAAAAAAGATATGCCCTAGGAAAATCATGGGAATTATCAACTACTCGGATTTCTCGAAAGGCGCGCTGTTGTTGGGGGGAGGGGTGGCATTCAAGTAGGTGAGACTTATAGCATTGGAACAAGAGGATGCAAGCAGAATGTCTCTAGCGTTCCTACCCCTCCTGGGCTGAGTCCTAGTGCCACCTACCACGGCTCTGTTTCGAGTGTCCCATCTCCCCTCCCAAAGCACTTGAGCGCCTCTAGCAGAAGCAAATTTTGCATGCTGGTGTCGTTTGATCTGTTTGCTGCTCGCAAAATTACGGATAAACTATCTCAGCGGAGTAGAAACGTCGGTTAAGTCAGGATCTCAACCCGTAATCGTACAAGCGCTTGCCGGAACCCTTCTGCAACCTTGGAACTTCTGCTTGGAAAACATTCACAATACAACTAGTAAACTGGTAGTGATAGGAATTACAGTTATATTATAGCATTAGTGATCATTGATAGCCACGAGATTGATGATCATTGCTAGCGTCTTTGATTCCCATTCCTAGCGCTGATTTCCGCTTTGCATTTGATGTGGGAAGCGTCAACAACATCACTACTTCTTCAGATATCGAACATTTTTGTAGCCTAAAGACCTCTGTCATAGGTACTGCTCTAAGGTCAATATTTAGCAACAGATTGACTAACCGATTAATAACAACCGTATAGTACATGACCTAAGGATCGCGCGGGATCGATTTGGCGCCAACCCACATCATTCGAGTATCAACCCTCTCTACAAACCTTATAGCCTGACTTTTCCTGTTCAAGTCTTTATTTTTACTTGTAAATTCAATTTTTGTTTGTTTTTCTGTGTCAGAGATGCAGGGCCTGAGTCCGTTGGAAATGGAAGGTTGGGATACCGTAGCGCAGAGCACCCAAGGCATTCAAAGCCATGATGAATAGTTTCGTTTGCATGCTCTCTTAATCCCTCCTCTGCATAAGTAAATCCCTCAACTCACCTCAGAGCTTGTCCCCTGCGAAATTGGGATTACTGATATGAGATGAATTGTCGCACCTCATCCCCTCCCCCTCAACTACACTTGCTCCATTTCATGCTGACGGCCTTCTCTACCATGTCTTTAGTAGTATGTTTCAGTTTTAACTGAACTAACCAGCATTATTTCGTTCCAAACGGCGATTTAACATCATTGACTTGAATTGTTGATATATTTTGGAGAAGGAATGGAATCTCCGCAGAAGAAAAGATGTATGTTTGTCATTATATTTGTTTATCGAGCTTGTTCTTGTTTTGTTTTTTGTTTTCAATGGCCCTCTGAGATCTTGTTTCCCATGAGTCATCGACATCGACTACACTTCTAGACTGCAAAACATCCCCATCAACTACTGGATCAAGATGGGTTATCGCTACAGTACTTCTGTCCGTAGTTATTCTGTACATTATCTATAAACCTTTACCTTCTGGCCTCACAACGAAACCATTGGATCGGTTCTATATTCATCTTTTTGAATCGTCACTAAGAGTGACCTACTATTGGCCTGTAAGTGTATTTTTTCCACCCAACGCATCATACTCCAAGAAACGAACATACCATCCAGAGCCGGATATTTCCGAAAGCGAGCACAATGGTCTGGTGGACACGGACAGTACTTAACGCCCTATCGCCAATACTTGGACCGTGGTGGGATGATGGTTCACTCGTTGTGGAAACACAAGTCTGGGATGGAGTTACGGTGTGTTTCATTGCGGTTTCGTTGTTTTCAGTTTTTTCACCTCAAGTTGTTCACTGGTAGATGTTATTGACCTGCCGGTTCGCTCCCATGGTCTATATTCAGGTCCGAGTTTTTGCACCTCGTGTTAACGCTTCAACAAATGGTGCTGTCTTTTTCATACACGGTGGAGGGTTTGCTCTTGGTAACATCGACATTTATGACTCGCTCACGAGGCGGATAGCTCATATGTAAATTTTGAAGTAGAGAGCTGGAGAGCTTTGGCTATTAGTGTCGACTGTTTCAGGTTGAATTCTGTCGTTGTATCTGTAGAATATCGACTATCACCTGAAACTCCTTTTCCGGGTGGACTGCACGACTGCGAGACAGCCTTGGAATATTTTTTAAGAACTGCTGAAGCAAAATATGGTGTTGATCCGAAGAAAGTGAGCACTCTTTCACTTTTTTTTCGCTTGTTATTCTTTGCGATTGGTGTACATCTCTTACATCAGAAAATGAGCATGCAAAGATTTGCAATTCCAGTGGTACAGGGAGTGAGTGCTTAAAACACTTTCATTTACAGCTTTAGCGAAATCATAGATTGGTCTTGCGTTCAGCTTCTTCGGTTTTGAATTAGCCCTTATTGCCTTATGAATAAAAATCTGTACTTGGATCTGTTTGTGCCTGACCTGTCGATCACAAATTACAGGTTATTACAGCATGTTGCCTTTTTTTATCAAAATAAACCATTTATAACTAGGCCGTTCGTTCCGCAATTACGCTTGAAGCCTGTTTTGTTCTTGCACTGAAGCGCGTCTTCCAACAACATGGACTGTACTCTAATCCGAAAGGGTGAATGGCACCGCTACCTTAAGGGGTGGGTCAACCATGACTTAGTGAACTTTCGAATACTATGCGACCTTTTTGAGGGATTCTATTTGCAGGACCTTCTCCTGATTGTTCCTATGGTAGAGTCTTGTAGTCACTGAGAAACTGCTGCAAAAAATTGCTAAATACGATCGTGCGTGCTGATGATCCAACGCGTTATGTCACCTTTCAAACGGTGAGCGTGGGAGCTTGAAAAGGGCATAACTTCTTTCCAGTTTTCAAGTTCGGGAAGATACGTACATATTTTCCAATGCTACGGTTTTTTCTTTCGTTGTCATAACTCTGCAAATGTTACCTTGCCAGGCGACTCAAAAAGATTAAAAGTTCATAACTCGCTTCTTATCAAATATTCAATCCTTTTGGAGAGTCATTCGTTTTTCTCAAAATCGTAGGGGTGGTAATTTTTCAGGTCACTCGGCTGCATTTTCTGAAGACAGGATTTTTTGTCTTCATTGAGTCATAAATCTCAAAATTGCTTTCGTGTAGCATGGACTTCCATGGAAAGCTAGATATTGTTCGTTTGGAAAGAGGGCACCAGTGTACTCAGTATTGCAGGGATCGCATACTGAGCACAGGAGGGGAGGATGAACTCGGAGGGGGGGGGGGAATGAGAATTGCTCGCACACCCTCTTCATCTAGTCGCCCCACCGGCGCTCATGTTGGGAGGGGAACATTTAAATGCGTAAACCACTCACAGTGCCTGGGACTAAGTTTAAATGCTGTGGATTTCCTATGGAAAGTTGAAAGGAGATCTGAATATATCGCTGTTTTTTAGCGCTGATTACAGATATGGACACTGAGACTGCTATGTGAACTTTCCAAGGGGTTGTAACCCTTCAAAGTTTGCAAAAGAACGTTAATAAATTTAGCTCGTCTGTATGGAATAACGGTCGTAGTGACACATTGGTAGGGTTTTCGCTCCGCAGGCAATAAGTGGGTCATGGGTCGCACCTAATTTACCTTCCATGGCAAAATCTACCATTATATGTAAAGCCAATGTACAAAAATTTGCCAGCCACGAGGAGCAAACCCATAACCCACTGTTTGCGGATTGGGAGTCGTACCACCTTCCCACGGCACTCGTTATTCTCCATTGGTTAGTTTGCCTTATAAGCGTACTTTTTTCATCTTTAAAGCCCCCAACTTCCCTGGGAAGTTCACGTAACATTTTTAGTGTCTGCATTGGTGATTCCTTTCCATTTCGACGTCTAAGACCCCATCGAGATGGTGGGGACAAGAGAGGGAATTCTGAGTGTTTTGAGTCTCCGCGATTCCCCCTGGGTACACAGCACTCCAACAAGTACTAGAACTGGTCCCAGAAGCCGAAATTCAAGAAATTCTCGTTTGTGTTTTTGCTTTTTTTTCGAAATTTTCGCGTTTTTTTTTCTGAGAATGCAACTATTTTGGAATGTAAGCGGCATTTTTTCGTCTAAATTGTTTTTATGCAGAAATCAGTGAGCAAACTACGAATTTACAAGATTTGCGCTTTCTGATTACTGTTGAACCTTTCTTGAAACTTATCGGGGTCAAAATGTTTCCTTCGTCCTTTGATCATCCTTTTACTCGCCGACAAGTGAGTTGAAATCCAAGCGTGTGGGCTGAGATGTGCCGCGCATTCATAACTTGTTAAGGATCACAGAGTAATTTGAATGTCACCTGCCTTTGCTCTGGTTTACGAAGACCGGCCAATCTGTCCTAGTTGTGTAGTGCTTAAACCTAAGCCTGCAACACTGAAACAAAAGGTGTGGTTTACTGGGGCAGAAAGCACTTTTAGCGTTTCGTAGCGCGAAACATTCTTCGCTGCGGGGACTTTACCGCTGATCATGATTGGACCTGGAAATCCCGCAGCGAAGAATGCTTCGCGCGCGAAACGCAACAAATCGTTCTCTGTCCAAGCGAACAGCACTCGAAATAAACATATTCTAACCAGGAAAGGCCATTAGGCCAACCCCGCTAATTGAAATGAGGTGTACATTACCGTACCCGTCTAGAGATGCTGAGCTCAAATCCGCTCTCCGTATCTGCTGAACTCTTTTCTGGAGGAGTTACGGAGGGTTTTTGTTGCCGCCCTTGATTTTCAGTATCTTACCTGCAATCATATGTTAGCTGCGTTATGAAAGCATCAAAAGGAGAACCTAGGCCCTGGATGGGTGAGCTCCCGTAGCGTAGTTGGTAGCGGTCTTGCTTCTCATGTAAGGGGTCGCGGGTTCGACCCCTTCTGGGGAATAGGTGTTCTGTTTTTTCCAGCATGGCTAAAAAGCCTTTTTGAATCCATTATTTTATCAAAGGTCGCCCGACGCTTTATCTACGATGAGTATGCAAGCAGACCCTCTTAGGTTTAAGCACTACTTGCCTGTGAGTGCCCATGGTACCCGTAGTGCAGCTGCTATGCTTTTCCGTGGCAAGTGGATTCGTTCGTACTGAGGGGATCAAAATACCGCTAAAAACGAGTTTCTTGCGATGAGGTCGTGAACTAATTGAGATAAAAGCGGAGCAGTGATGGTATTACCACTCCTCAAACCCCACTTTTTTGGGTTGACCAAACATGGACGACTGGGAAAAGGGGAGAGATGGTGTTGTATTAGGAAATAATAATTTGCAGATCTTTGGATGATGCAGACGAGCTAGCCAGACACAATTTTTATCTATTATGAAAAGTGTTGGAAAGGTTTTATTCTGCCCTAGTGCCAGTCTTTTGTAATGGGTTTTTGGATCGGTGAGTAAGTGAATGCCCGAATTTTCGAGGTTAGGTCAAAGTTTCGGAATTCGCTAGAAGTTTGCTCAGAGGGACAGTCTGGCCTCATTACGAATGCCATACTTATTCGAAGCACAAGTGCCTGGCGCCTGCGCTACAAGCGCTCAAAGTAGTCAGGAGCGATGCCGCTCAAGTTCGTTATTAATTGCCCTTAATTCTTTGTACTTTTAACTATATGAAAGCATGTTGGACTAGCGATATTAAGAATCTTCCTGGCTATCTTACTACAAACGGCAAAAGAACAAACTCGCCAGGAAGTTGATTCCCTGACCTTTGAGCCTCGACCGCAGGCCCTGCGCTTTTTTGCTTCATAGTTCCTTTCAGAGAAGAGTTCAGCAGATGAGGAACACATATTTGAGCTCAGCGTCCCAAGGGCGTAAACACATACACATCTCATTTCAATTGGCCGGGTTGACCAAATGACCTTTCCTGGTAAGAGGAACAAGAGGAAAAGGCAATCGACGCTTCCTTAGAGGGTTTATCTCTCACACATCTAGGGTTCCCTACATCGACACCCTGCTCAGATTTTTATAAATGACAATCTGCCACTCGTTCCGCTCCTAACCCCTGCGCCTACGATCCCGCCCTCTCTGATGAACAAATACGGCTGCATGGGTGATTACTAATAGGCATTTGAATTGACGACTTGCAAGAGAGCATTTTGCTGCAACATTGTTGTGAAACTGCAGTTTTATTTTTTTCTCAGAAGTCCTTGAATTACCACATACCGCAGACTCTGTGTCAATACAATTTCTTCAAAGTTTATGTGTCACGGCTTTCTCGTAGTTGAGTTTCTTCATGTTTCGTTGCGGAACAACGACTATGAGGCAGCGGATGAGGATTTTGAGTTTGGTGGAACTCCGCTGTGAGCGATTGATCCATCCGTCTCGTAGTTTCTCTCGCCCACCCCTCAAAATTCTGCCTCACTACAAATTGTGTATTTCTTATTCTGAATGCTCGTAACGCTTATCGTGCTTATAAAAGTTAACTGCTCCTTGTAGAGTAAAGCGCTCGCTGGGTAAAGTGTGGGCTCAGTTGGAGCTGCACTGCTCGGTTACTCCTCCTACGATTCGTGATGCTAGTGCCCCTATGGTGCGCCAAACAGTACCCACTTTTGATCATTCGCTTCCACCTCATTCTCATTGCTTTCTTTTAGCATCTTCAACACTTTCATTAAGGTCGTTTTGATGGGAGACTCAGCTGGCGGCAATCTCGTTGCTGCAATCACCCAACGACGTAGAGATACTCGGGCAAAGCCTACCATTCTCGGTCAAGTGTTGTTGTACCCACTACTTCAACTGGCTGATTTTCAGTCTATGTCGTATCGTTATTTCTTCAAGAATCTGCAGGGTACAGCCCTTGTCGGTTCGTCATTTCAGACTTAATAGGTGTAAGCATGTTTAATTTCACTTCGTTTCAGATCCTGAATCGGTCGTATACTATTACATGTTCTACACCGGAATTGACATGGATAAACATGGCGACTTGGTTAAGTATGTCCTCGTTAACGGTCACATTGCACCACAGATTCGTGAGAAAGTGGACAAGGTATGCAGGAGTTGTGTTCGCAGTAGTCGATTTGTTTCTACTTCTTTTCAGATTCTCGATTATACTCCATTTTCTTATATGAACTATGGAAATGAGTCGTTACCTGAAAGGCATCCAGTGCTATACTCTGAGGAGGCTCAACGGATTTTAGCTCCATTCATCACTAATCCGTATTTCTCTCCTTTGATGCAAGAGGTTTGTTTTTTCAACAACACGGCTCTCGACTCGTCGGAAATACACAATTGCAGGATTTGTCTCACCTACCTCCCGCATTTGTGATGACTTGTGAATTCGACGTTTTGAGAGACGAAGGGATTTTGTACGCCAAGCGTTTGAAGGTATTTTAATTGAAGTTGTTCCCTAAACTGTCTTCCATAATTGAATTTATCTTTCATAGGAGGCCGGAGTGAAAACTGAAGCTCGGAACTATGAAAATGGTTTCCATGCTATGCTGAATTTCCATCATGAAATCGATGAGGCTGCAAATTCTCTGAAAGACATCGTCGGTTGGACAAAGGATATTATTGCCTCTGCATAGAACAGCTAGTTGTTATCGGTATTTTTCATTTTCTTTCTTGAGTACCTCACTTTTGTACGAGTCACTATTTGCTGGTTTTTTAGCTTAGGTTCATAGCGTGTGCTTTTGCTTTTTGTCTTTCTCTTGTTTGATTTCTTTGTCAATTATGGTGTATATTTGTACAGACTGACTTAGCATTGCTTTTAAAAGTCATTTCATTGTTGATATAGCTTTAAGCAATTGTTTATGCATGTGATAGGAGCATTTTATTGCAGTTTAGCATAAATTTCTCGAAATATTTGTGAAGGTTTTTTTTGACTGGTTCGTTTTCCGGCAATTTCTCAACATGTCTTATGAGCGTTAGTGAGCCGGAAGCAAGTGCAATGCAACTTCTTCTCCTTCCCAGCGTTAATCTCACGGGGCCCGCTTTCTTGATAAAAGTCGTCCAAGACATGCAGCGATCGCTTAGCGAATCGCTGTATTCGCAAAGTCTGACGAATCGAACGATGTGTCAGCGACTCAATTTGAAAATCGGCTCTCGCCATCTTCCGGACTCACTGGGGCATGAGAGCTCGAGAAAGTAGCGAGAGTCAACGAGCAAACGAGCGAAATTTCCGCCACTTTCAAAGTGTCGAGTCGCTGGTACATCGTTCGATCCGCTGGTGCAACGCACGTACTCAACGATTCGAGCGAGTCGCTGGAATCGCAAAGTTTGACACCGGCCTTATGCCTCAGGCATGTCTCTGACTTCAGCGACATCATGAAGAAGGACACGACTGACTTTAGCGATGTCCTTCCTCATGACGTCGCTTCATTTTCTTTCAGGGCTTCTCGCGGTCGTTTGCTTCGGGCTTCGAAGTCTATCACCTTTCATCGGGTGATCCTGTAGCTTATTAGCACATGTCCACATCATCGCAAACCTGTTACCGCGCCTTTATTTGGGCTGGTGTGACAGACCTCACATCCTCATTCACCCTGTTCTCACGCCGCATGACCATATTAGCGCTCATTTCCTGAGACTGAAGCTGCACGTCAAGATTCTTATTCAGGGGCCAGAGCTTGCTGCATAACATCTGGGGCCTTAGCACTGCCCAGTGCACCATTCCTTTGAGCGTCCTAGAGTACCTTCGCTCGCAGAGGATTTTAGTGGATTCCCTGCAGTTCATCCACACCGCATTGATCCGTGCCTTTACTGCTTGCTCCATTCTATCGGTGGTGGATATCAGGGCGCCGGCAGTCGTTCACCCTTTCAAGTCTTGGCGGTTCTGGTACCATCTTCAGGTACATGGTGGAGAATCGCTTGAGCCATGTGGTCTCGTACTCTCCAAGAGTCTTCCATGTCTCTGTTGGTACCCCATCTGGACCTAACGCCTTCCCAACTTTCATGCTCCCTACTCTTCGCCGAACGTCTTCCTCGATCCAGAGTGCCACTGCAGCGGCCACCACTCCAACACATGGGTTTCCTTACGGGAGGCTTCTCGTTCAGAATCCACTTGAAGTATATCCCCACCTCGTCTTGCCTACAGTCGGCTTCCTGAAGATGACAGCTTGGCTGCCTTTTCACTGTCACCACCCCGATGTCTTGAGTAGCTTGATGTCGAGCTTTAGTCACCCTGAAAAGATCTTCTCTGCGTTCCTCCACTCCAACTTCTCATACAAGGCGTCAAAGTGTTCTTCACCTTTGCGATCTGCTTTAGCAAGCCTTCCGCAACTTTTGTAAACAGCAATGTCCTCTAGGCTGTGCTTCTTCTACGAGCGCTTGTGCTTCCTTTTTCCGTCTTGCGACTCGCAGGACTTCCTCATTCCAAAACCACACTGCCTTATCTATACGATTCCGCCTCGTGTCTTGCCCACTACCTCTCTAGGACATCGTAGGATGGTCTTGAACGTGTTGACCCAGGTTTTCTGGACTAGTCCGTGTGAATATGGGAGACCGGCTAAGGATGGGTAGCGCAATAAACGCTAAACGTTTGCACCACCACCGTCATCGGAATCAGTGGTGATCTCCTCCCCTGTTATGTAAAGCAGTTTTTCTCGAGCTCTCAAGTATATCTGACAAGCTCGCTTACAGGCAGCGTTGGTAGCCGTGAGCTACCAGCGTCGTCTGTAAGCTCCATCTCCTTCTGGCGTTTATGGTGAACATCTTCTGTCATTGTGTAGAATGGAACATCTGAATGTGATCTTATCTCTGCCAAATATCTTCGTTAGCCTTCAACTGAGATCTTTTTGTATTACCTTATACACAATATGCATCGACCGCAATAAAATCTTTAGAAAAATACTTACCAGAGTAAGGTGACCCTAATCAGAGGTGATGGTATTGTTGCATCTTGAGCGTGCACGACAAAGGAAGTGATGCCTTCACTTGAACGCTGCGACGGCTGCCATTCTTATCAAGTTTCGAATTTTACAGATTGGACCGTTTAAGGGCCCCCTGTGTCACGATAAGTGAACCATCATTTGCAGTACCCAGCTTATTTTTGTGGATATGTTGTAGTTCATAAAACACCATGGGTATAGAAGAGAAAATTCAATAAATTGTCACCTTTCTCGCGGTTGGATACACAACCTTCTCGCTACCGATCTGCAAAAGGAGGACGTCTTCTCTCCATTCAGACCGATAGCTTTTCTTATTCGTGTATTCTGAGCATTTCATTTTCAGCTGATGTCACTGGTGAATTTGGAGTCTTCTGATGGTGTAGTTTACAGTCTTCCAAGTGACGTGGCTGCCCTCTCTTCACTAGTTCAAGATGTTATTATGCATTGCCAAGAAGATGGAGGCGCAACTATCCCGCTGCCCAAAGTACCCAATGTTGCTCTCGGACCAGTAGGTACGTTGCCATTGAATGCGCTCTATTCGCAGATTTGCTTTGAAAAAAAGACGTCGCTCTCAATGCTCACCAACAGGAAACTGTTTAACACAAAGTGTGAATCGATGATCTGATGCTTCAAAGCTGCAGGGAGCGTCCTTGAAGGGGACGAAAATTACGGACTACGCCATTTTGGCGTTGACGGAATGGCCCGTTGTAAGCGATGAAAACGGGACAAAGAAAAACAAATGTCAGTAGAGTCGTCGGTATCTTTTTTAGTGGAGTGGATGCGAAGAAAAAAGCAGGTTTCTTCACAGTTCGCTGGCGCATCCGGCCGATGTACGCATGGTAACAAAGGAAGCGACTATGATGGAAAGGTTGTACACAGCTGCTGGTCTTCGTACATGAAACATGTTTAATCATGTGTTTTAGGACTCGGAGTTGTCAAACTGGGAGCGCACATTCTTTCACGATCTTAACAAAGACGTTCTTTTCATGGTGCTAAATACTGCCAACTATATGGGAATAGCCGGGCTTGTTGCTGCAGGATCAAGCTTTATCGCGGAGATGATCTCGGTACAGTAATTGGTTGAATTATTTCATTTCAACAGTGTTTTTGATGTTGCTATACGTTGGAAACAATCGTCCTATTTTTTGACCTTCTGGAATTTTCCTTCTCTTGCTTTCATTTGTTTTCCCCCAAGGCCGGTGTTAGACTTTGCGAATCCAGCGAATTGATGGCTACGAGTGATGCTTCAGCGGCAAAAGTGTGCGTAGCGAGAGTCAACATGCGAGTAAGAGAGACTCGAGCAACTCTACGAAACTTGAATCGCTCATGCAAGGTCCGAATCAGGGTCAAAGGTGTGTTCAGGGATCCTGGAAGGAGGAGAGGAGGCGCATTTCGCCTGCTGGAAGGGAGAAATCGGGCTCGATCGATGTGGCAGGATCATCGCTGTTTGAGAGTTGAAATACATTAACGTCAAAGAGTGCTCAGCGCGGTCAGTAACAGTGTTATTTCGCTCACATAAAATTTTTGTGGATCGAAGGGGTTTGCGTAGTAATTCTAAGCTACCTCAGTGATTTATCATGACAAGGGTGAAGAATCCGAAATTCGCACCTTTTCCGACGGTCATTCTATCTTCCAAATGAGTCCACCAATGAAGTGATGTCAAGTACACAGCATATCCCTAAATGGGTCCAGCCGGCTGCGCGCACTTCAACTACGGTTTCGGAAGAAAAAATTGCGAATCGGGAAAAGAGGGGTCTGAGAGGGGCTAAGTAAAATTATTATGACAGGGTGAATCCACTGTTCAGGAAGAAATGGTATTTCCAGCTTCAAGTTTATCATACTATTATATAAACCAGAGTTTGTTTGTCTGACCGCTCCCCGAAAATTCGCAAGTGTCCCCCACATGTTTATAATTCTTCCTTCAAAAATCACCTAGGGAGGGCGGGTCAGGTTTGGGATGGGTAGAGTATGAGCAAATGAGGCAGAGCAGAATTGCAAAGACTGGACATATCCCATTCCCCGACGTCTTCTCTTCAAGTTCACAGTTTGTATAGTATTTGATTCTGAGACCACTCAACCCACTTCAGTTCCACCCCATTTCCTCTCCAAAACCCCAGAGTATCGGGGAGGAGGGCAAATACCTCTGATGAAACGGGAAAATCCTCGAATTTGGAACTTTCACGCTTGATAACTTCTTTCGCCAGATATCATCAGAAACTGGGATGGCGGTATCAAATAACCTTGAAAGAAAAATCTCTTAACTTCTCCCATTTTTCCACCCTCTTTCTCCTAACTTTCACGTTATACCTAGACTCCCAAAACCCAAACCACTCCCATCACTATCACTTCTGCCATGTTCCAGATTTTCAATTACATGAAAGTAAGGCAACCCGAGAAGGCCTACAATTCGTGACTGTAACATCATCTGCACAAAGCAAAAAGAGAATGATAGAAAAAACTATTCATTCTGTGCATGAAATACCCTTCAGCTGGCTGAGCTGCTCAATCTGGCGGGGTGTAAATAGATGTAAACTGGGTATCCCGCTGCATTTATAATTCTTTTCTAAGAAGGCTCGAAAAGCCGAAAAAGTATGGGGCTCGGGATTTGATTGCCATAAATGTAGTTTCTGAAAACTTCTGAGCTATCAACCGATACGGATCATATATTATTCATAGGTTCTCCGCTAGGGGGTCGGAATTGGTCACCTCTCACACTATTCACTGGGTGAGGTCGCACGTAGCCAAAATTACTATACGTTCATGTATGATTGCGTAGTATTGCGCAACTCGAATCAGTATCATCCCCCACAAGTCATCTACTCACCGCAGCCGTCTCTCGCGCTCGGTATCGTGCGCAGCCCAACTGGTAAACATAATTTAATCGAAAAGTTAGAAGTTGAAAAAAGCCAGTTGGTTCCGAATCTGCTTTTATTATTGTATAAAATCGTTCCTGCAAGGGTCTATAGTCGTTGTAAGAGTGTCAATGCAACGAAGAAGAACCACATGGCGGCAGTCGAGCAAAAATCCTCAACGTGGCCATTTTTGAACAGAGCAAATCTTCTACCTTGCACTGCTGTACTTACTTTTTCGATTTGACGAAATTGAAGGAGGCTATAGCTCTGGAAAGTGAAAAACTCATGTTTCTCGAAAATTTTCCTCGTTATTTCTGAGCCGTTTCTGACGTCCTGAAGAAATCAAGATAAAACAAGGAGCGTTGAATAGTGCAAACTCCTAGTTTGCAATGCTGTATATTTTTGAAGGAAGTTATTGTTTCGCGAATAGTATTAACTCGAACTCATCAAGAATTTTCCTCGTAAAGGAATCCCTCCCGGACAAATCTTGCCTTCTTCCCAACACACATATATCAGCTGTGATCACTAGAGACAACATCAAAGTTTCACGCACAAAGATTCAGTTGAAAAGGAACAAACTCACAAAAACCACACTCTGTGGGCAATCGAAGGTGAAGGGCGCGGAGCCAAAGGCGGGGCATGGATAGAAGTCCGCATTGGGGCGGCTACGTATCATGCGACGCAGTGAAAAAAGCGGATTAAAGCTTGCGATTTTGGAGGTTAAAGACAAATGGATCGATAGAACAGGATGCAGTAGAAGTGCGAGATGTTAACGCAACAAGTGAAAAGGTCAGAAAGAATGTCTAGTGACGGCGCTCCGAAAACCAGGTCGAAGCATTCCCGTCGCCAGCATTCGTGATGGATGTCCGGTGGTACTTTGAACACGTAGCAGCTCTTTCGGTTTTCCAAACTTTTTACCACTTTTTACCAAAACATGCAATGTTTTCGTTCTTCAAGGTGAGCAATGGGTCTCAAGCCAGTGAATTGTGAGTGAGATAGAATCACAACTTTTCCGAGGAGGATTCCTTTAATCAACCTGAATCTGACATTTCGTCTTTGTTTCCATAATTTCAGTACTGGTTGGAAAGAGCCCCTCGAAAAACCTCCAAGCCTGCTGTCTTTTGAATATTCGTCCACTTTGAAGAGATTTGAGATTTTATTTTATTTTAACCCTTTCCGGACCGCGCCTTTTTATGCCCATCGCCGCGTGCTGCGCAGCGCGTATAAATATAATATATTTGATCTGTATTTCCATTAAAATCATTACTTTGTCCCGCATTTGTATTTACCATGCCTAAGAGTATATGTCTAGCGAAGATGGCAGACCGTCGTGTAATAAAAGTGATAGGGCCATGAAGAGGGAGGCAGGAATGAAAATTGTTCAAAATAAGTTGTATTGGGGGAAAAGGGACCAAAACGTGTCCGAAACGTTTGGATTTAATAGTATCAGATACGACATGTACGTTGTGTTATAAATTCTGTTGTATTAAGTGTTTTCAAGTGATTTATAACTGTTTTCTCTAAATTTAAAGCGGTCATCCATTTAGTATTTAGTTATTTTAGGAACCAGTTTGAGGTTGAAGTCCAGGTTTTACGAGATGAGTATCTTACATAGATATGTAACAACGTAAGAGATTTCGTCAAAGAACCGTATTCTCGGAAAAATAGTCCCTGACACACCATGGGTGTCAGGCGGTCCGGAAAGGGTTAAAGAATAGATAAGCTGCCCCAAGGTCAACCCCCCTCCCCAAGATCAGTCAACACATAGCTGGCCAACGCGGTTATAAGCAGGGTCAACCGTCCGTTCGAACTGTTCGAACGAAGGGGTCGCATTTTGGTCGGAACGGGGTCGCCATTTCGAGGACTGCCAGCCACAGGCGCGTGCGTGGCGTATCCGAGGGCAAGACTTACTTGTGCAGACCGCATTGGATTCGATTTATTATGCACAGAGATTCGGTTTTAGGCAAATTACAGTGTTTTTTCAAGGAGTAAAGAACAGCTGGTTGCATCGCTATGAAAGGTTTGACTTCTCGGGGCTGAAATTAAAGTCCTTCGCAGACCTAATTTTCTGAGGACGATTCTTCCAGACAACGGTAAAACATATGAGAAAGCAGAAATGTCGTGGTCTTCAAAAATGTCTTCGCCCCTCCCCAACAATTCTTTGAAGGAAGTTATTATTGCCGAAAGCTCAAAAACTCGCATGTGCTGCTCAAAAACCCATGGAAACAAAAAGTTCGAACGTGTGATTTTCTCGGAAAGTGAACGTTGGAAAACTGTTTGGTGTCTTCCAGAAAGAGCAAATTGTGTACTTTTACACCGTGAAAAAAGTGCATCACAGAAATGAAAAATGAAGTGAATTATGGTCGCTGAAAGCCCAAAAACTCGCTTTTGCACGAAAAATGTTCGAAAAAGGGATCAATCACTAAACTTTTTATACTGTTTTGTTAGAGAAACATTTGAAGCATCTGAAACTTTTTACAGATTTCCAAAATGTCGCACACGAAATATTTTATGGACCTTCAAAGTTGAAGGTGCGCCGTCTTGGAATTTTTTGTTTTCCACTTCTAACAGAAGTTCTCTCCGGAGAGTTAGGTAATCCTTGTAGTTTTCTGAAAGCGCACCTCAGGCACAGTCAAAATCTACCTCAACAAGTCAAAAAAGTACGTTCCAAGAAAGTTTTTCCCCTCTTTAAATTTTTCTTAGCCGCGTCTCGTTATTCCAGCGCCCGGGTGATACCTGCCGCGCTCCAAGGCTGACGCCGCAATGCAGACGTTTTCTGGCGCAACGGATTCATGTCTAGCACTCTTATTAACAAAAACAGGGGTTCGCAACTGGACCCCCTCGAGAGCAAGGGGGTCGCAAAAATCCCGAAAATGTTCGAACGTGACGGTTGACCCTGGTTACAAGGCTTCCATCAACCAAGAAGTGGACGTTCAAATTAAGAAGCATACTCTGTTTAGCACTAAGACTCGGTAAGCCTTTCGAAGGAATAAAGGAAGAGGAGGTACTATCATATTATGCTACTACACTGGTGTGCAAAACTCAAGGACGAGATGGATAAATTGACATAACTTATTAACAATTTGGTGGAATTGGATGAAACTGCGCAAGTGTACTGCCAAAAGCCTCACAGTCATGGACATGGAAGTAGGGCTCATATATACAGCGGTCGGCTTCAGTATGGAACCAAAAGGCAGCGGCCGCATGAAACGAAGGGTTTGGTG